CATAAAACCAAATGATTTACGCCCGACACTTTATGGGCTACGGCCAGACGTTCCGACTTTGCGAATTTTTCGTCGATTTTCGGCCGGTGTTGCCCGTGCAATAGTCTCGCCTGTTTCGTGATCAATTAATTCTATCTCGCGGAATCCAAATTTATTTTATTCAGTATCCAAGAAATTATGCAAATACGGATTACGGAAAAAGTCCTTTATAAGTTGATAAAAATACTTTCAGCAACTCATATATTCTATTTTTTTTTAAATTGACAATTACACTACTTGATAGAGTAACGTTTCAGTTTTAAGAATCTGTATTTTTAATTGCGAAATTTTCTTTCAGTAAAATTATTTCCGTATAGAACTATCATATTATGCTCCTCATATTTTAAAATTATTCTTACATTTTTTCAAATGTCATCTAGCAACACGATTATTTTTGAGAGTTATGAGTAATAAAGTCAGAATGTTCCTTTTTTAGTTAATGCAGTAACTCAGGAACAAAAAATTGTAGGCACATTTTTAAAAAACGATTTTGTAGGAAAAACTTCAAGCTGTCATGATAGATAATTGAAAATTTGCTCGAATTTTTTTTGGGCTCGCTACAGACCTGCAAAGTTAAAAGAAAATTTTTAATTTTTTTTCAGCTCTTAGTTTTCTATATGTAAAAAATTACAAAATTCACAAATTCACAAAATATAGTAATCATTCGAAAATAAAGATTTCAAGCTTAAAACTCCTTTTTTAACTTTAAATTTTGATCATTTTGATAGATTTGGTTGATTTTAACGAAGGTTGATTTTAATGATGGTTTTATTAAAGATAATGAAAGTCTTTTTATCAACTTGTAAAGAAATTTTTTCTAAATATTACAAGCAATAATTATAATTTGGTGCGCCAGCATTGCACAGAAACTGTGAAAAATTTTGTTTAATTTTATTTATTTATTTTACGATAAAAATATCGTTCTAGTAATATTAAATGGTATGCTAGTAATGTTAAAAAGAGTTAAGAAGTGAATTGAACGGAAAGAACGATTTTATTGAAAGATTTAAAATTTTGCTAGATATGGATCTGAAAAATAATTTTATTGGAAACTTAAACTGGTTGTTAGAACATTAAAATTTTGTGTAGAGGTGTACACTTACTTTTTAGTTTTCGATATAATTATTTTGTGTAGAGGTGTACACTTACTTTTTAGTTTTCGGTATAATTATTTTCTAACAACATTATTTTTAGATCTGTATTCAGCAAAATTTTGGATCTTTCAAAATTATTTCTGCGTAAAATAACTCATATTATATTCCTTGTATTTAAAAAATACTCTTTTATTTTTTTTCTTTTAATGTCAAATATCCAACAAACACTTTGTGCAACTGATTATTGATCATTTAAGTCAATGTCCTTTGTTTCAGATTAATTAAATTCACGTTGATCTTAGGAGAGTATGTCAGTTTCGTTGAAACATAAGGCTTCCAGAATATTGATAAATTTCGCGCCTTTCCCTTGCTCTTTTCTCTTTCTCTCTGTCTATGTATCCACACGCTTACGCGCCTTCGCACTCTGGCAGCCGAGTAACCGGAGAACTCGAGGAGACGAGCGGTCCTCCTCCCTGCTGTGCTCTGCTGCGTATCTTTATTCGCATCGTATAAAAAGGCGAACAGCGAACTTTCATGAACGATATAATCGCGTTAAAAACGTACTCCACTTGAGAATACTCGAGAAAAAAAAATTCAAATGCTTCGTTTCGATCTCGCGGAGACGAGAAAGAGCCATTTTCGCACGCTATTGACATCTTATAAATCTCGAAAGTGCGATATCTATTTTTCCCTTTCCCCTTTATTTCCGTCTTCCACCATTATTATCTTTACCCATCCGCTGTGAAATGAAACTTTCACACGCGCGAAACTCCTGATCTTGTTTTTTTCTTTGCGGCCGTTAATTGACCAGTTTAAGGATTTTTTGTCCCGTCGAACTTTTTTCTCGGAGCGGACCCTCGATGGTCGATGGGCCGAAAAGATGAACGGATGAATCTGTCAAAATATTGTCGACAGTTCTGTGCATTGTCGGACGATTTTCCGCAAGGGGGGGGGGGAATCTCACTAGAAGGGGGTCTTGTCTGGGTCAACATTTCGGTCGTCGGATTGGGACGATCCGGAGGCAGGCCGATAGGTCAAGCGTTAACCGCTCAATTTCACAGGCGGACCCCCAAGGCGAATTTCCTCGGTTCTTCGGAGGCAGGTGCTATTGTGCGCCCGTTTTTCCTTAGCTACCTTTCATCAAACTGCTTTTCACGGAGGAAGCACATAAAAAGTGACAAAAAATCGAACGTTTCAGATTCGATCAGATCGCCTTTAGATTTTTTTTATTCATATCGATTTAAAAAATGGACGAAAAAATTTTCCCTAGTTGAAATGATTTGTCGACAGCTTCCCTCTTAGCGATGATCCTTGTAATAATTCTAATGACAGAATTAGATTGTTGAAAAACTCTTGGTATCATCTGTCAATGTATGAACGATTTATAAAAAATTTAAAGTTATTTTTTTGAAAATGCTACGTGAAAATTCAATACCGAAAGATATTCTTCAGCGAAGAATATTTTTCTGTTCACTCGACTCATCTTCGAGCTCTGTTCGCATCTCTAGTTACACCAATACATAACGAATGGCGCATAAACGTAAAGGAAATTACGAGGGATTAAAATGATAAGAGTGCATAGAGGCAGTACCGACCAATAAAAGGTCATTGACGTCTTACTGGCGAATACGGCATATACAATCGCTACGTTCACATCCATGCGCGCGTCTCTTCGTCAATAAACATGTGCATTACGCATGTATATGTATATACTATATATAATATATTATAGGCAGTATAGCGAGCGTATACGTATGTACGAGGTTAAATTCGTTAGTAAGTGACTTCGTTGACGTTATTCTTAACTGGTGAATATACTTAAACATCTCTTTTCTCATGCGATCGCGAGATCTTTTAAATGAATCTGTTTTTACGAGGACTCTAGTGGAAATATCTTTTAAGTTTTTAACCGTCAAGTGGATTTGATAGAAATGGAAATATACAAGTATATCGAGGCTATATACTTTTAAGTTCAGCGTACAAATATAACCGAAAATAAATGGCGCAACTCGAGAAAAGGTTTATTTTTGTTTACGTTCTCAAGAGACGTTTTTTTGAATCCCAGAATATTTTAAAACTCAAATTGGTCATAGTTAACGGTAAACTTCAGAAATATTGTGAATTTTTTGTTGCGTAATTTATTATGCTCTTTCGCTAAGATCTGACCACTCATCACTCAATGTTTAGATTGATGACATTAGAAGCGAGGAAATACGTAATTAAAATTCTACCAAGATATATTAAAGTAGAAATTTCTTTTAAAGAACAATATTTGTGTTTATAGACTATAGAATAACGTACTTGTAAAAAATATATTGAAAATTCTTCTTTATTTCAAAATAGAATAAAATTATGTATATTTTAATTTGACATGCAACTTGTTTCATTTTCTGATTAGAACATAAACTGATTTCAAATATATGATTGTTTACTGATTATTGAAACACAAAAGGAGTTTTTGGTATATTTTACAAATTTATTCTATTGAGATTGAAAATGTTATTTTATTGAAAAATATTTACATTTTAATATTAGGTGTTGGAATTAATTCGTAGCGTTTTTTAATGAAAGAATGTTATTTATTTCACATGAGCATTAAAAAATACATTAATGAAAGTACTTCCCATCACTTGTAAAACGCTACGAATTAATTCCAACACCTAATATAATTTGCAAAGATTTTGTTTATGTATTTTACGTTATAATACTTACAATTCAAGATGGCTGCTATAAGCAGGAATCTTAAAAATTTGAATTTTTTATGAAGCAGTGCTGAAATTAGATGCCTTCAGGAGGATGTAGCCCGTTAATAGGTAGGTATCTAATGCGCTTTCTCAGGCATGCCGTACACGGTAGATATATCACATCATGTATAATATATATTCTCTCTCTCTCTCTCTCTCTCTCTCTCTCTCTCTCTCTCTCTCTCTCATTCTATTCTACTCTTATATGAACGAGTGCCTATTGTTTCGTTAAATTTCTCAATTAAATGCTTTGTGCATTCGCGATCGACTTATCGCACCCTATCTTTTCCTTTTTCCTGTTTCTATCTTTCTCTTTCTATACTTCTTCTCTATCTTAATTCTCGCGGCGTGAATCGTGAATGGACTGCCACTCGATTCCGGGAATTTAAAAACGGGAAGGTATTACCGAAGAGAGACAAATGAAGAGGAAGGGGAAGGAAAGAGATGACGAGCGTGGCGAGGAAGAAAGAGAGAGCAGGAAGGGGCATATACATATGTAAGTGACGTAGGCAGAAAGACACGTGGTGGGTGTGAGCTACTGGTATTTTATTGTTTGCCTGGTGTGATTTGTGGTGTTGTTGTATTGTCGTTCGAACGGTTGCTCTCTCGTTACGGGTGTAGACCGGGATCGGCTCGTAGACCACTTCTGAATACATGTACGGTGATTCCGTAACTAAGTCTCAGCTACGGATAACGTGTGAGATATCGTAAATATAAATCACATGCGATCGTTGAATAGTTTTATTCCACGTTGGCCAATTTCCAAGCCCGCCTCCGACATTTATCGTCCGGCCGACCAGATGGTCATGGTATACATGCACGTTTGTACCGTGATAACATTAACACCTGCGACATCCAGTCGCGATTGTAATCGGTAATACCTCTTGTAAAATGCTCTGCCCAGTTGAATGGAAGTGGAACAGACACGATACTACAGCGTTCTTAATAAGAATAGCCACATAGACACGATTGACTGAGAACCAGTTTGCATCCTGTAAAGTTTGTCACAATGTGTAATGAGGCTGAGAGTAGCAAGGAAGTAATCGCGAAATTCGAGGCGCGCCGAGAGTGAGAGAATAATTCTAGTGACGCGCGCATAAATAGAGAAACCCCGTGAGATAAATTACATCTCGCAATAGAGCGGCAAACCAGCGGACGGATAATCGGGATTTTTGAAATTAATTGCCTCGTAACGTCCGTTTCCCGAAAGGCACATAAAATCCCCGTCGAGCACCGACGGGTCTCGAATATAAATTACGCGTTTCTTGAAATACTTGCGTTTTGCTGTCCCTCCACTTGCACGCGCTCTGATGTATCCGCAGGGCTGCAACCAATATACGATACATTATTGAAAACATCGATACGCAAAACTATCCAAGCAATACTTTATACTTTAGCACTGGTATTTGACATGAGATTTTTAATATTTAAAAGTTTATGTCATTTGAGTGATTATAACAATTGTGGATATTTACACAACGGTACATTAAAACATTAATTTTTAAAATTTTATTTTCAAATCAATATGTGAATGGCTTATAAATAAGTTTAAAAGTTAATTTAAATGTTTTACTTTTAGACAAGACGAAACCTTACACGAAAATAAATGATATAAAATATTAATTTTTTAATTTTATCTTGAAATTAATATGAGTGATTTATAAAAGTTTATAAACTACTCATATATTAATTTTTTTGTATATTTAATATCAATATCCTAAAAATAAATTTTATAACAAAATATTGTATCTGAAATATCTGAAATATCTTAAAGTTATATTGATATTATTATGACGAATTGAGCGAGTAAAACACACCGATATTTAAATGATTGGTCGCAATCCTTTGTCCAAATGTCTGTCGTCAATAACGATATGACGAGACGCACCGATAGTTACATAGCTCGTTGAGAAGGAAAATGTATGTGGTAACCCTCTTGCTTCATTATCCTCCCGCATGATTTACAGAGACGAATTTATAGTCTTATTCGCCAAGTCGTTATAGTCGGCCCTTAAATTCTATGTGTTCCAATACCTTTCTTTCTCCTTCATACTTCGATACTGGCATTCTTTCGTCCATACCGTTGACTTGAGATGTCGTGTCTTTGTTAAGCAATTTAACCTACAATTTTACCTCTTTAACCTACGACAGTGTTTAATCACATCTCATAATTGATTTAATTATTTTTCATATTGCTGCCAGACTGAGAGAAAAGTATTTGATGTTTGTAACTATAATTGCATGATAAAATAATTATGTTTAAGAGCTTCATTTTTATTATTGCTGCAGTGTATAATAATAACAATTATATTTATATTCTATCAAACTTTTTTCATCAAATTTATTTTATAGTTTAAGAAAATGTATAATTGATCCCGAAAATGACTACAAATTATAGTTAAATTATTACAATAGCAACTATTTTCTTATCTTTGTGGAAAGTTGCTGGTTCAAAAAATTTTATTTGATATAATTAACAATATAACTTAAAAATAGGTTTCTGAGAACAAATAGGAAATTAATATTATAACCAAAAAGAAAATTAAAAGAAAGTCACTTAAGAGCCTATGCAGTTGATGTGCAAAGTTTTTTTACTTATTTTTTTACTCATTTATTTACTTATTGAAAATAATCTGCATATGTCTTAACTGACGTTTTCGGTTCTTCTCAATGCGAAAACATTAATTAATTAAATAATAAATTATACACTATAAATTACCGTGTACATAATATTTAAGTCGACAAATTAAAATACAAAAGTTCGAAACATATATCTAATTGTTTTTTATCTTATTATTTATTCTTTAACGGATACATATGATTTTGTCGAGCTAAACACGAAGCGTTCTTCTCGAGCAAGAGTTAATTGTCGGAACGCGAACTACGTGTGCATTTTCTGCAGGTACATACTCACCGAAGCAACGCGCGCTTGCGGAAATAACAGGGAGATGAAGTGCACACAGGGTTTTACGGTTAATCGTAAAATAACCGCTCATTTCCCCGCGACATAAACTTTATCGGCCATCATGCCGCGAAATCGAGTCCCATGCGATACGAGAAACGTGCGGCGTGCGCGATACTTCTCTCATACTTCCGCGAAGTTTCCACTTTCTCGCGGGACGCTATCAGGCAATTCTGCCGCGATAAGACCTTGATTCGCACAGCCGTGGGAATCGATTTGACGCTTGTTACTACGAGGTCGCACATACCTGAGCGCATGCTCGCGAACCCGTGCGTATGCATTTTACGTACATGCTCGAGTATCGCGATTCCTTTGGCTCTGGTATCGATTGTTCGACCGAGAGCTAGGTCGAGAGGGATATCCCGTTTCCACGGGACATATAATACTCGCATTCCCTCGGACCTCCGTTTATTTCTTCGTATCGTGCCTCGGTATTCCATGCGTGAACCATTTACATTCGCGATGACGTATATGCGATCTAAATGATGCATTACTGTAGCATTCTATGATTTGGTAGATGCATTCAGTAGTTATTTATTAAAGAGAAGATAACGCTTCCCTATTTCCAAAGTGACAAAACTTAGAAAATTATTGACTAATTGAACATTGGTATAAAGAATATACCTATTTTTATAACATGACCAAGTGCCATTTTTATTGTTTTTATTTCACAATTCTTAATCCTTGAAAATGAGATCTTTTTAAGAAAGAAATTTTAAAAAAAACCTTGTTTTTCTAAAAATTTTCAGAGTGGAATTCGATTCTGGTTTCAGAGAATTCTAAAATTTAAATTTGAAAAAAATAATCTGATTATCGCGTGAAACTCAGTTTTAGGAGGTTCTTAATGTCATTGAATTTAAATGTAATTTGAAAATGTCAAATTTTTTAAAATTACATTTAAACTCAGCGATATCAAGAACCTCCTAAAACTGAGTTTCACGCAATAATCAGATTATTTTTGTCAATTATTGATAATTGAATTATTGATAATTTTCAATAAAGAAGGATTTAGTGTTATATAGCTCAAAATCAGAGTTTGGAAATTGGTTTAGAAATTAATAGCTACTAACCATTTGCATAACATTGACGAGCTTCAAACAAAAACTCGATATATTTTGCAATTAAAAATTTTCTAAAAAAGTTAATTTTTATGAAAGATAATTAAATTATTAAAAAAAAATTCTATCCATTATTGGATCCATCATTTTGAAATTTTTATTTTTAATATCTTATAAATCAAGTTTTACATAAATCAAGCGAACAATTTATAAAATAGAAAAAGGTATTCTCAAATAAAAATACATCCGTTCACAAAAGATTTAATAAAAAAATTATTTTTTTTAGTCGTGACGATTTTAATAACGCATCATTTTTAAATTATGACAATTTTTTACGAAGTTAAGTTATAATAATTTTTTTTTGATGATTGATAGAGTAATGATAATGTTTACGTAACACATTCATGATAATAACTCAAAAAATCATTTCTTAAATTGTGTCACTTTTGAAGTATAAAGAGAAATAATATAATTAATTTTTTTAATTTTTATAGGTACTTGTTGACGCAACGATTAAAATAAAATAATTAAATCTTGTTTGGTTAATTATCATTTTATCTATATACTTAACGGTTTGCAGATCACTTTTAATTACTATACTGTTCGTTCATCGCAGAGTTTATTTCATTCAGTTAGCTTGCAGAGCAATTATTTCATCGACCAGGAGACTTCCTGGTCGAACTCGGCGGACGAATTGACGGGACCGCGTTAACTAATTAGAATCTCTCTCATTTACGATAAAGCAGAATCACGCTGTTGGTTATTTTAACGGAAGATAAGATAAAAAAGATTCGTGAGAAACGTATGCCGTGATCAGAATCGAGGATTTTCGCCCGCAGCTATGATGACCGTTAGAAAGATCTTTTTAGATCGCGAATTTGAATCTCCTCTTTTTACAGTCATTATCTATAACGATCGTCATTAAGGTGTTCTACAAGCAGTCGATTATTACACAGGAAATACTGAAGAAATGAGTAATTATAGTTTGATTTTCTAACGCCTCGCGACTACGATGTCTCGGTGTTCAGAAATCATGACGACTATTACAAGCTTTTATTACGAGCTTTCGGTGCCATCTCGAGCTGACTACATAATGAATCTCATTGATTCAATAAACGAGTGTATTATCGCTGAGTACGATGGTTCTAATGGGATTTTAATCTCGCACTGCATGATTTGTTGTTTTGGCAGTGTGGTCTTATTTTCGTTAGATCCAAAATAGACACACTTGGAAGCTCTGCACAGAGCAAACTCTACAGAGTTTCGTTTTCACGGTAAATAATGTGAAAATGAATGTCGATTAGCAAAACAAAATGCTTTCTGCAATTTATACGAATAATAAATAAAAAAATATTTCCAAACGTCTCGCGCGCGTAACTTCCGTCATCAATCGAGCAAGCTCGTGCGCTAGAAGAGAAATATCGGAAGCAGTGCGGCAGTAACGGCCACGTGTAGCGCCGGCGAACAAAACATTAGTAGTGTGAGCGTCAACGTGAGGAGACGCGGAGGAGGTAGGGCGAATCGTGTCGAGGTAAGGCGAGGAGGTGAGGCGGATGTAGTGCTGAAAGACAGCGGGGTCGTTACTTAATTCTATGCGTTCGCTTAAATAGAACGACTTAGACTTAAGGTAGTCTGTAAAAATGAGAGAACACGCCGTTGTAAGAGAGCTGGCAACTTGTTCATATATACACGCGTTTCGGAAAAGAGAGAGAGAGAGAGAGAGAGAAAAAAAGAGGGAGGGGGGAGACGAGCGTGAAGGTGCGCTCACGCGCGCGCACGCACGGATCCCGCGACGTCGGTCGGGGGTGCCTACTGGTTTTGATATACGAGCACACTAATACATACATCGAATGGCGTTACACGCGTGAGTCATATCGAAAACCAGTCCCGCCGAGAGACGCACATACACACCAGCGAAACAGCGCGGAGCGGAGCGGGAATGGCGAGAGGAGTCTTTGAATATTTCAGGCGTGCTGGCGAGGCGCGTGCGTGTGTGCCGTTATGAGGGCGTGTGAGTAATTCTACCAATGTACTTCTCGATCGAGGGGACACATATGTGAGATTAAAATCCGTGCAACGTGTATACGTGCGTGCGCGTGTACGCGGTGCTGATTATTAACGTGTCTCGGTGTGCATCGCGCGCAGACTGGATTTGTTACCCTGTTTCGTGAAATTGTTTTCTGGATCCAGATGACGATCGATGAGCGCGGGAGACCTGTCTCGTGGCAGTCTGAGCAGCTCGTAAGGCTATCTTATATTCGTAATTTCAAACTAAGATTGTACTAAAGAAAAAAAGGCACACAAAGGATCTTGTATTAATTAAGTGGAAAATTGGGTCTCGACAAAATGAATTAGTTTTTACATATATTATACATATATTACATTTTACATATATTGTATTTTACATATATAATGTAGTTTATAATATGCTGAGCAAAAGTTGTGAACACAAGACTCAATAATAATTGATGGTTTTTCAGTTACAGTGTATTAAAGGTATAAAAACTTGTACTCCCGCAGTATCTTTGATATACTTAGAAATTATTCATTATTAAATCTTATGTTTATGATATTTTTTTTGCTCACTACATTATATATGAAAACTAATTCATTCCACCAAATGACCAATGTAATTAATGCGGAGACTTTCCATAAATAGTAAGACCTAAACAATAAATAAATCAATATTTTTAGTTTGTTACTATTTACATTTTTACCTTACATTTTTCTTTACTGTGATCGGTTGATTTAAGCTTATCGCTTAAACTCTTACTGTTTTACGTTTTTCTGTGTGCCATGACTAACTTCTAAGATGACTATGACACTTTAAAAGAGCATTTGATATTTTTCGAATTTGAATAATAATATAACTGCAAGGATTAAGGGGAAAGAGAATAGCACGATTATACTATATCCACTTTTCACATGATATTACATTTTAATTTATGATATTGTTTGCGAAAGTTTATTTCTATATTATAACATCAAGGCAATACTCAACGTCATAGAGAAAGTTATTTAGTTCTCTATGCTCCTTCGTCCGAGACGAAGTCGGTAAATAATACGCTACCGTGGGATGCGATTTTCGCAGGCGTGATTATTGATCGATGCGATCGTGATCGCCGATGCGGATTTCTCCATTTGTTTAAGGAGAATAGCGAGCGTGATTGCTTTGACGAATGATGGAAGGTAATACGCGAGTAATGGTTTTACTGCGAGAGCGGACGAAATTGCATGTGCAGGCCGAGATATAAGATCGAGTTGCACCAAATACGAGAGACATATTAAATGTATGAAACCTTGCAAATGACATGAACGAAACTGAATGTGTAAAAATCAGTAATTGATATAAGGACTCCCAGTATTAAAAAATAAAATAATAAATAATAAAAGTAAAGATTAATATATAAGAACACAAAGTTTTGGAGGCTTAAATTTTTTGTATATATAAAATATATATTTACTTTTATAGTGACTTTGGACGCACTATACTGATGCATATTAAAGTCGTTATTCACTGATTTAATCTGAATGTAAAATTGAAATACAAAAAATTATAATTTATTATAATTTCGAATTATAAAATATTGTTCTCTTAACAGCACAATGAAACACAGAGGATCTTGCAATTTAATCCATATCTTAGACACATAATGTTAATTTGTGTATGTGATTTTAATGCATTAGTGCGCACTGAGTACATCCAATCGAATTTGCTATTTGAATTACATCAATCCGTTCGAATTTTATAATTTAAAGTAAATATATTTTATAAAAGAATAAGTCTCAATAACTATGCTGCTCTTATTAACTTTTATTTCTATTATTATTTTACGGAAATATTACTATTTACGCGATATTTATTGTAATTTAGTTAATAATTAATTATCATACTTTTACAAATATATACGTTTACGAGTTTCAATAAAGCTAAGCGCGGACAAACTTTGTGCAAATTCTTGAAAAGATGTAGCGGACAAAAGTCATTGGCGAGTTGATGCGCCTGCGAAGATTGACAACGCGAGCGAGACAACGCGCCAGTGGAGCGAGCGCGGCTGAAGCACGAAGACGAGCAGCATATCCACCCACGACGTGGTGCACTATAACGAGGCTACAGTCCATTAAGTGCGTGCGGCTATTATGGCTAATGCATTACGAAGCGATAAAAAATGGGAACTATAGCGCAGTGCTCTCTGCCGCTCGCGCACCGGACTCGAGAACCGGACCACATTCCATGTCGGACGAGTACGAACGCCGTTGCTCGATGCATTGCTCGGAGTATAACGCTCGTAGATGCGCCGACGACACGTGCACCACTGCAAAACGCATCCCAGACGCGCCATACTCGCGACGTTCAGTTGCGATGTTCCGTCCGATTTATACGGTATTCCACGCACTGTCCGAAATATATTTCTAATATCCATTTTATCCAGTCCTCGTGAGAAAGTCTGTTGCATTTAGAAAAATGAGTTATACATAACATTCCGATACTTCTGTTTAAATTTTAATCGTCGCTTTCGTTAAAGTATTGTAGCCTTAGACTTTTAATCGCTTCGATTCTTTTTAGATATAAGAAATTAATGATAGAAAGCAGGCTGCTAAGAAAGATTTGTCAAGATGACATCTGGTTTATCTAGGAATCTTGAAAATGAGAAGGGGTAGGTAAGGACGGAACGGTAAGAGGAATGTAGACGCGGAAAGGATATAGCAGAATACACGGTAAAAAAGAACGGCAACCCTTTTCCTTTTCCTGTCCCTCCCATGAAACCACGGAAACTACCTTGGAAATTTGATTCTAAAAATATTCGTCTTATGGAGTTTCTCGGGTTTTTTTGATCGCGCTACTCCTTACTCCCCAACTCTCTTTTTTGTCTTCCTACCCTCGGGAGACGCGCATCAACCATATGGCCCGCGAGGGAGAGATAAAAAATTCATATTTTCACTGGAAGGGCTAAGACTGAGCGGTATTTTTAAATTTTGGGGAGTGCTCCGAGAGAGCATTCAACTTTGTCTTGCCGGATTCTTCAGGTTTCTGTAAATATTTCCCTCACCAATCATTAAATGCCAAGACAGAGAAAATAATTAATATAATTGTTATATGTAAGGATTCCTCTACTTACGACTATTTTGATTTACGAATTTTCAGACTTACGACTGATATGCTAAGAATTAGTAAAATATACGTTGGACCGAGATAAAAATTAATTTGCAATTGGGAGATCTATTTTTTCACATAACTTTATAATTATTTATGTTAAAAATGGCTAGTAGTGCAATTATTAAAAGAGAAAGAAGAACAATAGATTTTTAGTATTATATGATTGCTATATTTGATGCGATTAACTACAATCAAAAGAACTAAGTAAATAGAAGAATTATTACATTGTAAGTCTAAATTACAATTGAAAGATAAATTGGGTCACTATGCATCTACTGTTAAAATGTAGGTTTAATATATTTGTTGGTAGTTTTATATATTTTGATCTGTATGATTATTATTATTCCCACATTGATTTTAAAATTTCGATATTTAGCATCTTACAATTGGAGTATTTTTACATAATATATTTCTTAATTAATTAATTAATTTTCTGTTTATTTTTCTGACATAAAATTTAAAATTATAGAGTACTACATGCTTATCTGTATATTTAATTTATTTGAGCAATAATATGAAGCAAATGGAGATGGATGTTGATTATACCTGAAATCGAAAATAGCTTTTCCATTCATCCCTGGGCGATCGGCGCCGTCTTCCGTTATTTAAGGGTTTCTTTACGCTAATAGTTTTCTCACACGATCCTCGGAACGGTAAAACCCTTTTCACGGAAATTGAAACCTTTTCGGAAGCCGCATGCAGGTCCTGAAACGGGTTAAATCGTTGGCACATTACGCAAAATCACGCGGTATTTTCGATACCTGGGGAAACACGATATTTTATTGCTGGATTAAGATCCTTTAAGAAAACGCTGAGGGAGAAAGAGAGTCAGTGAGAGAATGCAGTCTGACCCATTTTCGAAGGGTTCCACTTCAACCCTTTCGAGACCTAACGGGACGCCGCGACATTTTTCCCACATTCTATTTTTCCGAAAATCGACTACCTGATCATCGACTAGTTGTTGCAAGACCCAAATAGGGTCGTTTTGTAATACGGGAAAGGGTTAACTGAGCTCCCTGTTTTATGATTTCAATTTACTTCATCGAGTAAAAAATAAAAAAAAAATATTTTTATGTATAAAATTACTTTATTTTGAATCTTACGTATAATAGTTTTTATAAATATTTTTAGTAATTAAATTTTTTACTTCTACAAAAAATGCAAACAATATACAATATATAACGATATTTTTACATTGTATTATTAATGGTAAAGCTACTGATAACAATAAATTATAGAATAGAATTGAATTTTATTTCATAAATAAAAAAGTAAAATATACTATATGTACTTCACTAATGAGAGTAACCTGCGTGGAATTTTCATAAATTGATGAAATGCGTAATACTGGTAATGATCACAAAAGAGAAATACAGGAATACAAATACGAACAGAGCGATAATTGTGATAAATGAGCGCATTAAAAAATCAAAAGGCAGAAGAACGTTCACACGGCGGATTGGTATAATCACGTGAATCAGGCCCATTTTCGTTCATGACTCTTTTCAGCTTTAATCATTCTTAATCCCCGTTACAAGCTACCCGCACGATGTAAATAGCTCGGAAACGTCAATCTAAAAGTTGGAAGGGATATTAATGTATATATATATATATATGAAGAAAATTTGTAAAAATAAACTTTTTTCTAATATCTTTTTATCTGAAAGTTTTAGTAAATGAAACAACTTTCTTTATTTAACGAATTAATGTCATAATAATACAATATTGAAAATTGACCATTTATCCATAATATTATATAACTTAATGCTTTGCTGTAAAGCGTATTAAAAAGTTTATCTTAAAAATTTAAAGATTTAAGCTTTTAGAGTTTTATTTTAAAAAACTAAATTATCGTGGTTTACTTTCATATTTTTTGATCGCATTCAATTTCTGCATAGCATCCCTCGTTTTCTCTCAATTAGCGACATCCATAGAAACCCCAAATAATCGTCACCCATGCGTAACGCATCGGTGATAAGCATCGACAGCATCGTAGAAACCTTTGTGGGGGTAGAAAGTGGGAGTGTCTTTCGAGGGCACTCGAATGACGTCATTGGTCGGTGGAACTTTCCCGTACCGGGGTGATTCTACACGAGGGTGGAGAATTAATACACTTTGAAATTTTACTCGTTGCTTGCTGTACGCGAATCGAGTGTAATGATATATTGAGTTACATAGCAGTTTTACTATTCTATAATAATTCCTGTATCACAACATTTTTATCATATCATATAACGAAATTCAATCATAATTCTGAACATTATGATTTCGTTATATGTATAGCGCGAAACGTATAAAAAATATTTACAATCAATTATAGGACATATCATAAAAATGAATTCGTTATATAATTAAATTATATAACGAATCGGAAAAAAATTAGGAAATGTTTAATTAAACCTTTTATTACTGAAAGTTAATTTAGAAGAATTAAAAAAAAATTGTATGTATAATAAAGATTCACATCGTCATGCCATATACAGTTCTTCTCATGACAATGAAGATAATTTACTTACTATTCCGAGATAATTTTGTTAACTAGTCGTTGATATTTTTCGCGAAATTATCTCCACGAGACCACCCATTCACTCGCGTGTGCAGGGGCATCTTAACGGCAACGTGCAGAGAGGTGTGTGCCGTTCGCCAGTCGGTGGACGAATGCGTGCAACAGCGGCCAAGGAACGGAAGAAGAGGAAGGAGTTGCTCGGCGGTGGCAGAACTCCGTCTCTTTGCCCCCGTCATCATCATAGTCGTGTGGTGGTACCGCGACAACGTCGGGGGTCGACGGGAAAGAGGCACCGACGTGCACTGTCGGGGGTGGGAGGCGGCGGAACGTCGGGCGAAGGCGGGGAGAATGCGACGCGTCACTGCTCTCGACGGGGTGGGGCAACCTATGGATGGTAGATTGGTGGGGGCCCCCGAAGTCCGCGGTCTTTCTCTGTCGGTGAAAGAGGGGCCAAGGGAAGAACTGTGTGTTCCCTCTCTTTCCCCCTGTTCCTCCCCTCTCCGCCGTCTTTGTCTCTCACCCTTTGGAGGGGTTCAGTCATCTCGCGCCAGTCGAGCCACGCGCACTCTCCTGTCTGATATTTCTGGGCTCGCTGGAGAAACCACCCTAAAATTCTGAAGGTGACGAAACAGTTGTTATCATTGCGAGGGTGGCGAACCCTTGTTTGCTGCTGAGGGTGGTGGTAAAAGCGCGTGGCAGAACGAATTTCCGCGAGTTTGAAGAAGACGCGAAACGAACCGCCCTCTTCGGACGTAGAGTTCGGAAGACCACCCCCACTTCTTCCCCCTCTTGATCGAACGCGCGCGCGCGCGCTCGCGAGCGCGTGCCTCCCTCTTCGTCGCGGATGCTTAGACAACCTCGAGAATCGAAGACACACGGATACCGAGTTTCACGGGTGGAGAACCCGCGCGTGTCGTCTCGAAACAACGAGGATTCATGTCGGAACGATAGTTTTGAAGTATCGTGATAACGCTGCGAAGAAGGAAACGACGTATTTGTCTCTGGTGTATATTTAATAGGACCTTGATTAAATCTACGCAGTGCCGTTACTATAAAACTGTTATTTTTTGAGTTTCAATAAGTATAATCCTCCTTTTACATCATGATGAAATAGGCATTCTAATCCAAATTTGTGATAAGCTCCAGTCAAGAAATTAAATTTGAAATTGTGCACCATGAAATTTAACCGTCAGGAAGAATTGCTAATCGTTCGGGTTGACAAGATTATGAAGAATCAATCGAGAATGTCGAATGATCGTTGTTTGAATGCTTTCCAAAATTCGAGGATTTTAAGTGACGGCGTTCAGGGTGGCACAGGAAGTGTTCGATGAGGGTGGAAGTGATCTGGGAGATTTCGAAGAGGAAGAAGCTGACGCATGCTTCGTATTCCTCGCGAATTGGGACTCCCTGAAGAAATTTTTGAAAGTCCCGTAACAAGGATTGGTCGACGATAATTCCGAAGACTCGAATCTGGATCGTTCGGTGTGAGTGATCGCAGAGATTCTGCGAATTTGGTGCGCGAGCGACATTGAATTGTCACGTTTTCTAAGTGAGCGAACTGGAGCTGATTAGTCGGAGGTGAATTAGTGTGGATAATCGCCAAAACGCATGTCAGAACTATGGTGATGTTGACGGGAGTGATTCGCGGCAGGAACGGAGATACCAGTTAGACAGCAAGAGGTAAAGTTTGCTTCCGGTTCTTACAAACGACCATCTTAATGCATAAATTAATTTGAGGAGTGGGAAAAACTGCTGGGAAATTTTGATGTGTGAAGTTCCGAGATAATTTTATATAGAGTAAAAGAAGGTAATTCAGTATTTTGATAGAAACACGTAATTTTCATGTAACATTATTCTAAAAAGATGAGGTGTGTAATTAATTTCTTCGTCTTCTGAATTAGTGTATTATCTTCTATTTCATTTCTTTTTAATCTTTTAATAATTGATTTTTCTTAAATTCTTTTATATTTCTTAAAATAATTTGCGCATAAAATTATCATTATAATATATGTTGAATTACTGTATAAAGTTTTAACGAATCAGCAGTTTATCTCTTGTGAAGCTGTATGCATGTACATACATTAGCTACAGTTGTCAACCGATTTCACATCGTCTTATTTCACTTGAAACAAATGAACGAAGTCGTATTTCTAGCTTCCTGCCATTTATTTATGTCACTTATAGTCAATAAGCGTCACTCATAAACTTTTCTTGGCCGAAACAAGGTTAGCGATAATGTACTTAAATTATGCCACACAAAGCAATGATGGGTTGCAAGATGTAAAGAAGTTGGCTGGTCAAACTTCCTGGTCCCGATTGAGCTCCGTGAATTTCCACGCTCCGAAGTGTGTCTCGAGAGAACGAAATTAGCTCATAGAATTGTTCCTGATTTCGTGGAATTTGCTACACAAAAATCCGTTAGGAAAACTCGTCGGAGCGTGCCCGTTTAAAAGTAGATTATTTTGCCAATTAGGCAAAAAATATTATTTTCTAAATTCTTTCTCACTCTAAAGAATGAAAATTGAACTAGTCTTGAAAAAGAGTGAGATTTATTTTAAAAGTTTAGAAAGTTCTGTACGATAAACTGTCTAAATATTGATCTGTTTTCCTCTAAATGCATTTTATATTATAATTTGGCTTTCAATTTTTTCTCCTACAATATTACACATAAAAAATTTTTTGCTGAAGTATCTAAAAATTTAATTAAATACACATCATCAAAATAATTTTGTTAGATCATCAAAATATTATGTAGGACGCTCAAGCTAAAATGTCACAACTTTTTGCAGCTCATTATACTTGAATGTTTTTAACGTAATTACTTTAATATAATTACTACTCTAATAAAATTATTTTCAAATTTGTGTCTACCTAAATTTGTTAATACTTCAACAAAATTTTTTTCGCTAACTTGTATACTTTACGCGACGACATTAAATCGTATGTAGTCGGATAACACGGCCACGATTCGAAAATTATCCCGAACATCGACCTTCCTGTCGGAATTCGACCTCGATCTCCCGACATGAAAGTTCTCGAGCAAGATTATGTCACTTCTTTTCCTCCCCATTTTCGTTTTTTTCTTTCACAGAAATTGTCGCCGTTTCTCTACGACCATTTTACATATATACACTATCTCATTTTCATCATAGTCTTACTGTTACATAAATGTTTCATAGATGTTGCAATCTGGTTGTTTTACAACAAAAATATAATAAATTCATTTGATTTGTAAGCACATTCTACCGTAATACTCTTATTTACGGTATGTTTAACGTTATTATCTTGCTATACGTGAACGCTAATCAAACATGTAATATTTTGTGTGTGCTCTGCTTTGTAATCGTTTTGCGGCAAAGATCTTTTTTAATTTTTATTTCGATTAATTATTAAACTTAATAACATTTGAAAAATATGAGACGCCTTAAGAACAAAAGAGTAAATATTGTATACATATATTATACAAAAAACAAAAATTTTTAAGAAAAAAATCCGTAAGAAATCCATAAATCAAAAGGTTAAAGAGCAAGGAAACGCGAGATAATACAGTGAGAGAAAATCATGTGGATCGATCGAATAATCAAGAGGGACACGCATAAAAATGAGACAAAGAAACGGAAGATGTAGCAGACGTGACGAAGGGAGGAGGATACCGCAAGGAAGAAATGAAGAAATCAGGAAAGGTGAAATAGAAATTGGAAAGGAGAAGAAGAAGAAGAAGAAAGGGAGAAAGAGGATGAGGAGAAAAAAGAGAGAATAGAGGACAACCGGGGAATCGATATATGGTGATATACGTTGTAAGGTACTGGAACAGTGGAAAGAGAGAAATCTTCGGGAAGGAAAAGAAGGTTGAACGAAGAAACGTGAACGGAGAGAGAACTCGAGAGGAAGGGGAAGAAAACCACGAAACAATTGGAGAAGCGGAGGCGGCCGCATTTCATGTTGCCTGGCATCGGCTCCCTTTAAAGAGTCTCTTGCTTTTTGTTAGCTCTTCGAAAATTATGATTGTTTGTCCGCGAGATTTACTGCTCGGAGGCTCCCTCGACGCGCCGTGCGTGTGGACGTGTGTATGCGCAAGACGCTCTCGAGGAGTACCGCGATCTTTCGCTAGACACCGTGAGTTAGGTCTTTGAGGGACGGTCGGGGAACGATAGGAACTCTGAAGGTTTACCAAGATTAAAGAATCAAGAATTTACAGCACTTGTTACTAAACTGGTGCTCTACGCTACTTCCTTCTCTTTCGCTCACCATCTTTCTTGTCGCGCTATCTTAATTAGTCGTTGTTTGAAGTACGAGATTTTGCTTTATGCCGAAAATGGACTCCGCTGCTTATGAACAGCACGAGACGTAATCCACGCGAGAAAATGACTGAGTTCGCATTCGTCTCGTCTGCAAAAATTGTGTTAAAGGCAAATCGATAAAAAAAAATGTTTTAACTTGTTTTCAATCACAGCAAATTGCTTATGTACTATTATTGTACATGCGATTTCAATCGAACATATTATACCATGCATGATTTTCTATGCTATAGTCGAAGCTAACGTTCATTGATTATTCACGGATTATTCAGACGTATACCAACCAATGTAGACTATAATCGGGAAAGAATTTAATTAAATATTTATTAATGTGATATCTGTTTTATAGTACAGGGTGACGCATGAAATGTCATACTATTTAGTATACAAGGTGTCTATGACGACCATTGATGACAGATTCCTGAGATTGTTTCGAGTAAAAAATTCTAATATCAGAAAATATCGAGACTACAATAATTTATAAATGAGAAGGTTTTAAATTTAATCGATCTGTCCAGATTTGTGTACTCAAGCATGCACATAATAATGAAGGTTTTCAAGCATCAATTCTATTCTCTTCTATTCTCCTAAACATTTTTGCTACTGTGCAAAGTGTCATGCCTGAGCGCGCAAATATTGGACAGTTCGATTGGTTAACCTTAAATCCTTCTCATTTCAAAACTAATACGTTCTTAATATTTTGCTATTAGGATTGTCTTGAAAAAGTCTCAGGAATTTGCCATTAACAATTGTCACGATGAGTCTGAGATACCTGAGTAACATTTATTTTTAACAAAATTGATACAGAATTGATTGTACCAAACTTTGAAAACTAGAAGTAGATATTTGATGAAC